GCTCCCATGATTCTGGAAATAAACAAAAGTGGTTAGCTGTGTTTGATCAGCTGGAATAGATATTTCTACCTTTTAGATTATGGGCTGAGATCCAGTTTCTTTCTGAATGTCTCTCCTTATTGTATTTCATGGCAACTGTTGAATCAAGCCATGTGTAGGAGTCATTTCATATTGAGAACAGCTGCAAAAGTATTAGCATAGGCATTCCAGAGACATAATCAATATCAGTCTCATTTGGGACATATTCCAGTTTCTAACTAGCCACCTCTGCATTCATGCAAATGTCTAAAATGACTGCATCAGAGATAAATTCTACTTTATATTTTGACATTAGAATTCTTTGACAAAGAGACGCAGGTATGAAGTGAGAATTGTGTTCTACCATAAGACAAAACAGATTGTTAATGCATTATCTTTAAGTTTATTATTTAGTGTATTTAACAGCTGTTGATCTATACCACAATAGGATTCATAATCATTCGTTCTTCCCATAACATCCTGAGCTGTAGGAAAACCTTAGTTTTGAAAAGACTTACTTGGTAAAAGCCGTTAACTGTGTTCGTATTAAGGAATTTGACTCACGCAATGGAAGTTCAATCCGGCTTGCCAATTAATTACCTTACACAGATTCTCATTTAGAATTAGAGCGAATACCTATGTTAGTGCCTCATACAGCAAAATTTTTATTATAGGTGCATTCAAATCATCACCACATACACACATTTGTAGTGCCCAAAGGCATAATTGACATACATTTTTAATCTCTAATCAGATTCATGCAAGATAGCTCAAGGCTCCAAATGTGAGTGCTCCTGTACGTAAGAGGGAAACTGCATTACCTTTTATAATTTAGCCTTGAATATCATACAGTGCCATTTATATTATATTCTATTGGTTACAAGTAAGTCACAAGATTCAAGAGGAGGTGACATGTACTTATGTCCTGATGAGAGGAATGTCAAGATAACATTTACTGTAGAGGAACATGTGGCATAGGAGATATTGTTGTAGCCATATTTGGAAAATATAATCTGTCACACAGGGTTAGTTAATAAAAATAAAATGTATGAAATCATGCAAGGTAAAGTATGGAGGTCACCAGATCTTGTGAAGAAACAAAGTAAAGAGGCAGAAACTTCAGAATGTTTGCATTCTTGTGCTAAGAAGAGCAAAAGGATCCGAGAATACAGTAGAGGTTTATACAAGTCAGGTTAAAGTTTCAACAAAGGCCTTGCTCTGTATTCTGAACTCCAGGGTACCTTAAGAATGGCAGTCTCATGGTAATTCACTCATCATTTCATAAACTTTTAGTGAGTACCTCTTACATGTAGTAGCAGAATAGTCAGGGACTATTCTAGGCTTTTGGTGTGTATCAGTAAATAAATGCAACAAAAAGCCCTAAGTAGAGCAATGATATTAAAATAAATAACACTGCTTGCAAATTAAGTAAATGACAATTAGAAGTGGGGCTTCATGTAGTCCAAATAGCTTGCTTCACCCTGGAGGATGTTCTGGGTTGAAATTTTGCCAGGTGATTATGTGGCAAAGTGGTGAAGTCTTTGGGAAAAAATTTTGCAAGTAAAAGGGTTAATCTGTCTTATCAGTTCAAGAGGGCTTCTGGACATTGTTAACCTCCTTCTACAAAATCATGAGGTTTTGTATCCATCTTGTGACCCTTGCCCTATTGTTTTGGCATCACTGTCCAAAAGAAATCTCTAAGAACCCCAATACTTTACCTTTCCCTGTATCCACACTCTGTGTCATGTAACTTTAAAGTTCCATGAAGACTCCTTATATTTCCTCATGTGATTTACCAATAGAATAAGGCAGAAAAGAGCCTGTCCTGAGATTAGACCCTAAGAAGTCTCGCATGTTTCTACTTTTGCTTTAGCCCCTTTGCCATTGCCCTGCAAGCATGCTGGAGTTGGCCTGCTAAAGGATGAGAGACATGTGGACCAGACTACAGTCATCTCAGTCTCTCAAGCACGACCCAGCCCACCTCCAGACACATGAATGAGCCCAGCCAAGACCCCAGATGCCTGAACAACAAACTGATTGTTATATGCTACAAGATTTTGTGGCTGCTTGTTAGACAGCATTTTTGGGCAATAGTGAGATGACGCAACTGGACAAAAGCAAAGCTCCTCCTGGAGACATGCTTACATATAGTTCTATTTTGAACCCAGTCAGCACAGGTCGCTGTCATTGCTGCTGGTGCTACTCTGGGCTGGGGTGTGTGGAAGGATGATCAGAGTCAGAATTAACAGAGTTGCCTCTAAATTCACAACAAGGTGAATCTTCACGAAGTGTGGAAGAATGAAGTGGAATAAGGCTTTATTTTGCCTGTGAAGGCTTGTATTTTATGTTGCCTTGTTGAAGGGAACAAAAATCACTTCTAATACCTATTATGATTGAGAGATGAGGAAGGAAGAACCCTCAAGGAGAAACTAAACATTCCTGTAGCTTCTTTGATGCCATTCCTTGAATATAACAGATGCCCTGCCTAAAAGTGGACTTAGCTTTATTATTATTATTGTTAAAAATAAACCTGTTTTGGCAGCATTATAGGAGGATGATGGCCATACTATCCTTGAACTATGTGGATGTGTCAGTCCTGGCAATAATCTTGGCAAACTGAGGTTCTTTCCCAGACTACATCAAGCAAGGGTGGAGGGGCAGGCTATTTAATCTTTGCTTCAAAATCATTGTGATGATTAACACTTTTGAGGAAAAAAATGCCTCAAAACAAAAGCTGGCCTTCCAAGTAAGTGGAGTAGTTGCTCTCCCTGCAAAGTGTCAGAAAGTGTTCTATGAGTCACTTATTCTTTTGCATCTTGCACAGGTCCTATCAAAATGCTAATACCCCTGGGAGAAGTGACCTCTTTAGCCTTCAAGAGTCAACACTTTGGGAAAGGCAGAATTATTCTTAAACAGCTGGGCACAAGAAAGGCAACTAGCTTGTGTAATTGTTCATTTTCTGTCTTTCCCACTGAACTGTATGCTCCAAGAGGTCTAGGACCATGTCTGTGTTATTCATCCATCTATTTCAAGGTTCCAGGACCCACAGGAGACCCTCGATTATGACTGTGGGAAAAAAGCAGAAGGGAACAAACATGGGAAGGAAAGAAGGAAACAAAGGACACTCGGGAAAAAGTTTAAAAGCCTAATTAAATTCTCACAGAGCGTTTATTCTTATATTAACTAGTTAATGACCACAAGATATTTATTGAGCTCTTACTATGCACTCATGAGGGAGGGGAGTCCTTCTTCCTTGCCTTAATTTGGTGTGGTTCTTTAAGCTTTACTCCAGTATACTCTGAGATAAACACGACAGCCAAAGCCCATAAAAAGTTTCCGTAGGGAGCATTTCACTGTTTTAATGCACGAAATATGACGTCCTCGAACCCCCCAACCTTTGGAATTGAAACAGAATGAAAACTCCAAAGTGACCAAGATGAGAAACAAGCTTCAAAGAGGGCTCCCAGTTTCTCCCTGGTATTCTAGTCTAGTTCAGTGGCTTCTCAAACTTTAATGTGCATGTGAATCACTTGGGGCTCTTGCTAAATATTCAGATTTTGATTTAATAGGTCTGGGGCAAAGCCTGAAATGTTGCGTTTTTAATGTGTTCCCCGGCAATGCTGATGCTCCTAACCCAAGGATCACGCTGAATATACAAGGGACTCGAGGTCGTCACCTCCACCACCAGGTGTGTGTATGCTGAGTCTCAGCGTTCCAGATCAGTGTCCCGCACGTCCCCTGCCTTCCGCCGAGAGGGGAGGAGCTGAGGGCGGAGCGGGAGGAGTGGCGCGGGCCCCGCGTGGGTCCTGCCAGAGATCACCTCGGCCCCTTGGAGAGGCGGTCGAGCTGCGGCGGCGCAGGAGGGGGCGGGTTCGGTGAGGGCGCGGCCTCTGAGAGGGGGGCGCACGACGCGCATCCCTTGTGCTCGCCTGGGCCACTCGGGAACCTCGCGGCAGCCCGGTGCCCCACTTGGCCATCCGCTCCGTGCTTTCTCCTCGCGCCCGCCTCCTCTTGTCACCTCCCGTCTCACCCTTCTCGCTCCATCCCCGCCGCATACACCGCCATCTGAGTGCCTCAGAGAGCCGGGGAAGTGGTGCGCGGGACTGCAGGGCGCGACCTCAAGCGGTCCCCAGCTCGGCATTAGGGGGCAAGGGCAACAGCATGGACACCAAGCGCTGCTTCGCTAACCGCTTCGATGACTACCAGGGCAGCCTGCTGGCGGGCCAGTGCGAGGAGGCGGCGGTGGCGCCCTTGGTCACCGCCACCATCGAGCGCATCCTCCAGGAGCTGCCCCCGCTCGGGGGTGGCGCTGAGGCGCGGGGGGCGACAGCCGGGACCAGCGGCTGCCAGGGGGGGCTGTATGGCGGCGTGGCCGGGGTGGCCTACATGCTCTACCACGTCTCGCAGAGCCCGCTCTTCACTGCAGCCCGAGAGCGCTACCTGCGCTCGGCCAAGCGCCTCATCGACGCGTGCGCCCGCGCCGAGGAGTGGGGCGAGCCGGACGCGGACACCCGGGCCGCCTTCCTGCTGGGGGGCGCGGGCGTGTACGCTGTGGCCACTCTCGTGTACCACGCCCTGGGCCGGTCCGACTACGTGCAGCCGCTGGGCAAGTTCCGGGCTCTGTGCGCCGTCTGCGCACCGGTCTCCTTCCTGGAGTGCGGATCCGACGAGCTGTTCGTGGGCCGCGCGGGTTACCTGTGTGCAGCGCTGGTGCTCAAGCAGAAGCTCGCCCAGGAGGTAAGATGCGGCCCGGCCGCGGGAGGGCGCCCGCCGCCTGCCCGGCCCTGCCCAGCCGCCCTTCCCCAACTCCCTGGCTCCAGCAGCTTTGCCGGGTTGTTCTTCTCCATCTCTTTGTTAGTTACTCTTTGTCTAGCGCTCTCATTTCTTCAGTCTCTTGAGGTTTATCTCCTGCTTCTTTTGTCAGTCTTCTTCCTCTCTTTTTTAGTATCTCATTTGTTGGGCCTCGGTGTCTTTACGCTTTGTTCGTATTTTACGCTGAATTTGGCATCACCCCAGATGCCTCTTTGCCCAGTAGCTTTCTGGTGGCCCTTTCAAGTCAGATAAAAACTTCAGAAACAGGAGAGATTTCCTTTCTTTTGACCTTGCTGTCAAAAGCTGAGGCACCCTTGAATTGTTAGAGTACTAGAAAAGTAATGGGACTTTTGGGGGCTGGTGTGGAGTTAAGTTGCTTCTGAACCCCCAAGTCTGTAACCAAAAATAACTGCCCAGCTGCTGGTCTGATTTGTTTACTGTGTCGCTTACTATTTCTGTTCATCCCATGGCTCTTGTTAAATGCATATCTTATGGGACTGTCGCCTTTTTAAATTCATAAATGTAGACGGATATGTACCCCGTTGTGATCGAATGTGCATTTTTTTCATTTTAAAATGTGTACTTAGGATGATCAAGACCACATACAGCTTTCTTGACAAGGTAGCTTTTCTTGATGAATAGCTTTTCAGAGGCTCCTTGAAGTACATTGGTTTTCAAAACTGTATACGTTTTTTTTTTTTCTGGATTCACTTTGAATACAGCATGTGTATATTAGAAGAGAATGGCCAGTTCCTGTGGAGTAGGGGAAAAAAAAAAAGAAAACTCTGAAGGATCATAGTAACTAGAACTGAAAGGGAGGCACTTTCATTCATAATCCACTGCAGCCAAATGTTGTTCTAGGGAGGAAGTGACACATTTAACTTGGCCTTATTTGGGTGAGAAAGGCTTTTGAAAAAAATTAAAGGTATATAGAGTGTTTTAAAAGAGTAATTAACCTAGATAACCTCTACAGAGGCAGATTTGATATTTTTTTAATTTATAGCAGGTGAGGTTGATTCAAGAAAGAAAAAAAGATTACTAAAGAATGTACACTGTGCTATCTGGGCAGCAAAGGTCTGTGTGACAAAAGTTGTCTTGAAATAGTTCACTCTGCTTCTGAGTCACTGTTATATGCTAGCAGTTTCCCAAGGGCCCTTCCTGTTGTATAAAACCTTTTAGGAGGCCACAGAGATATTTACATATCATTTGCATTACATTTGCATCTGCTTCCCAGACCTCACAGTCTGGTGGTAGGCAATTTTCAAATGTGTTTTTTTTTCCCCAGTCGTTTTCCTGAAGCCTGCCTCTCTTCCCCTTTTCATGCCTTGGAGTCTTTTCTCCAGAATGGAATGGCAAAGAGTGGGAGACCCACCAGGTCGGTCACACAGGTGGAAGCAGACCAGAAGAACTCTTTGCCTAAAAAACGGTGGTTCAGGGCCAGTATGCAACGCTGATCCACAAAGACATTTATTAAGACCTTTCTTCTGTCCTGCCAAACCAGATCTGTCTTTTTGTACTAATCAAGTTGAGGTGCTTTGACCCCTCTGCTCCCAGGAGATAGAACAAGATTCAAGGTGAAAAAGGGGGGGGGGGAGGAAACGCAGCTCTTAACCTGAGCAAACCAGCTGATCCCAGTGTCAGCCTCAGCTACAACGATCAAAAGGCTTCAAAGGTATAGGGCAGGGGTTAAGCACACCAAGCTGGAGGCCCTTTGAGGGGAAAGTATAAATCATACACCATTCCCACCCCAAGTCCTAGCTAGCTCATGGCTTTGCCCTCAGGAGATGATCCATAAACCTTGATTAAATTGAATTGTCAATTTGTGTCATTTCTCTATAAATTGTGTCATTATGTCCTGGGTTTCTTTTCCTCCAATGTCATTTATATTCACATTTCCCTGGCAGTTCCCTCAGTTATCACCCTAGTTGAGATCCTCCCCACACTACTTGGCACATCTTTGGCACCTAATAAATTGTTGAATGAATGAATCATCATATACTGGGACTTGTGCAATGTACTCTGAGCTAGATTCTCCCACTCAAACCATTTCATATACCTCTAAGAAACCAATCTTTTTAAAAATCACTTTTCCTTATGCCTGCTCAGCATCCTGCAATGGCTCCCTATTACCTTTTCTCCAGTGGCTTCTCTTCTCACAATTAAAGCTACGATACTTAAAATAGCCAACATGGCCCCACATGATCTAGCCTCCTGTGTACCTACTTTCCACTTCTTGCTCACTCTTCTTCAACCACACCGGCCTTTTTGCTGTTTTAGGCACTCTCCTGTTTCAGGGTGTTTGCACTTGCTGTTCTCTCTACTTGGAACACTTCTCCTAGATATTTTTATAGCTAGCTCCCTGACCTTGTACAAGTCTTTACCTCCTCAATGAAGCCTTTCCTATATACCCTATTTAAAATTACAATCCCACACCCTCACTAATCCCCCCTTTCCTAATTTTACTTAAATTGAACACATTTATGTCTTTACCAATTATTAATAGAATGTAACGTCCATAAGGGTAGAGATTTTTTGTTTTGCTGCTGTATCCCCAGCATCAAGATAGCACCTGGTACATATTTAGGTACCCAACTTTTCTTTTTCTGGTTTTGGTGCAAGTATAGTCTACTATATGGCTTGCTTTATCACTCACTTTTAATGGTGTCCCATTTGTCAATACTTTCCTTTATGGTGTCATATTTAAAGAGATCCTTTCCTACTGCCAAAGTCTTAGTTAATATTTGTTGAATGAATGAATGAATTATAGTTTCTTACAAATTTTTCCTCAAATTAAAGCTCAACCAATAGACCAATGCCTCTTAAACTTTAATGTGCATGGGAATCACCTGCAGATCTTGTTAATAAAAGTCAGATTCTGATTCAAGCTTGGGATGGGGCCTGAGATTCTGCATTTCTAACATGTTCCCGGATGGTGGCGATGTTTTTGGTCCATGGCCCATGCTTTGAATAGCTGGACCATATAATACTGCATAGCTTTTGGCATTATACCAGACACCTCTATTAAGACATGCTGTAAGATACCATTCCATGAGGCTTAATATATTTATTTATAAGGCTGCTGTTTAGAATGCTGATTACTATATCCTACAATGCTTTCATTATCAGGACCCACAAGAAGAATTTCTCGCAGGATACAGAAATAGAAATAATTGTGCTTCTACTGGCAATTGATTGAATTTTTTATTCTTCAAAATATGTCATGATGTCATGTAACTGATGGTGTTTCTCACTTTGTGTTAGCTAGTTGGAAGTGTATGGCCAGAATTGTGGTCCACACAAGCTAGCATACAATGCATTATCACATGTATTTCTGTATACCAGCATTTACCGCTGGGTGTATCTGATTTGTTCCTTCCTTTGTTGATCCTTTTCTGGATTTTTTCACTTCCATTTGATTTTATTGTTTGTATTTATGTTTACGAGACTCTGAGATGAAAAAATATGTATGTGCATGTGGAGAGAGACATATACAAGCAGACAGACAGAAACACCCTATCCTAATAATGTATTTTTATTTAACTTGACCCTTCTGTTAATACTCAAGGGAGTAGCTTTGAGGATTTCTTAGGCAGATATCTTTGAGCAATGAGCCACTGAAGAACACAGAAATGATGCCATATAATCTTGGATTGGGTCTATTTGCTTTTCATTGATGGGTGGAAATGTATCAGGGAATGGTGGAGGGATTAGGGGGTGGCATAGGATCACAGTTAAAATAACTTTGCCACTGAGTGATCATGGACAGATAATTTAACATCTTTGAGCCTGAATTTCCTCACTTTAAAATGGATTAATAAGAGCCTCCTCATTGACTTATTCTGCCATTCATTCATTCATTCATTCATTCATTCATTCAGTGAATGAAAGGTTTCTACGTTGTGCCAGGCACCTTAATAGGTGTTGGGATTTAGTAGTGAACAAAAAATAGTATAATTCTGTTGTATTTAATAATAAGTGCTTTAAAGGACATAATCAGGAACTAACTTGGGGCAGTTGTGAAGGGGTGGGCTACTGTTTGGGATAGGTTGGTAGGAAGGCTTCTCTGTGGAGGCAATGTCCTGGTTCATCACTAGAGCATGAGAATGAAGTGGCTGCTCTAAGAGCAGGAATTACAGGCAGAGGGCAAGAAACTATGAGGTGGGAAATGGCTTGGAGATTTCAAAGAAATGGAAGGAGGCCAGCATGGCTGGAGCAGAGAGAGCAAGGGATAGAGAAGTTCAAACCATAGAAGGAGATGTAAGCAGGGTAAAATCAGATTCTTCAGGGCCAGGTCAGTCAAAGTTAGGAGTCTACATTTGTTTCATGTTTAAACAAGGGAATAACTTGATCTTAGTTATCATGTAAAAATATCACCCTGGTTTTCTGTATGGAGAGTGGATTGACAGTATTAAGAATGATCACAAGGGAGACTGATTATGGGGGATCCAAACCCATTTTGTGACAAGGACTCCTTTGTTAGTCTGGTGAAACCTACAGGACCTCTTCTTAGAATAACATTTTAAATACACAAAATAAAATACAGGGAATTACAAAAGAAGTCAATTATATTGCAATTCAATTACCAAAACATTTTTAAAATGTATACTGCAGTAGCATGTGTGCTTCTTTATTAATACATTAAATAACAAGATTTTGCAGCAGGACTAATGATTATGTCCTATTGAAACCGTGATGAGGGTCAATGATATTTTGAGATATCTTCAACAACTGCAGTGTGATATTCATATATCCGTTGTTTCTATAGGTGATAAAGTCACAAGTACTACTGGGGGGTTTGTGGTTTACATTTGTAATGAAAAGAAACATTAAATTGTTTACATAAAGTAGAAAACATATAGATATGATTTTATTTTCCCGGCCAAAGCAGACTGGTCTGGAAATTGCTGTGATGACTAATCCTAGAT